GAAGACTCAATGCATGAAAACTCAGACTTTAAAACAGATACATTAGGAGGTAGTTATTTGCATAACAAATTTTTCCCCTTTTCATTTTATAAAGGTTGCACCGCAGGGTTTCTTTATAGAGTGGGACTCCGTAGCGCATGCTAATTTGTAAAATTCCATTTACAAATACTCTCTTCATAATAACTTTTCAAGAACATACCTATTGTGTGCAGCAAGATGTAGCTAGAATCTTTTTTCTTTCTTTCCTGGCTGTGTGAGGTTTCCAACTTCTGAAATGTAATTGAACTGACCTTGTCAATTTTAGGCGGGGAGTTGAGTAACCACGCCACCTTCCCTTTGTCTCCAAGAGGGGGTTTACCCGACGAGGACAAAGCCTGGGCAGCCTCCGTCTGGGCATTATGTGAAGCGAGAGAGCTGGTATCATTTTGCATTTGTGGCTAAGCTCCTCTTGGGAGCTGCCGCAGAAGCCTTAAAATGTAAACTCACTATTCTAACCGCTTATTTCAGACCAAAAGGAAAGAAGCCCCACGGCCGGCCGGCAAGTCCGTTCTAATTCTTGGCAACCTCATAGGCTACTGAGGACAACTGCTCCACCCTGTTTTCTTGGCTGTCCGCTGAAGGGGAGCAGGTTGCCTGGTCTTTCTTCTGAGGTTCGAACCACCCCCAGCAAGCTATTTCTATGACCAGCTTGTGAAGGTCCTGCCGGACACGCTACAGGCAGTGCTTCTAAAGAGTCATTTCCCTCTCCTCTCCTCACCCACCCACCCCATCCCACGCCACACTCCCCACAACGTGAGTTGAACATTAGCAAGTCAGATACGTTTTCCAACTGGAGCTCTCCCCAGCAACACAAGGAAAAGATGTCCCTGACTCCATTCAGGTCCCGTCTCCCTCTTTGGCTGCATCCAGCGCCTGACTCTTCCCACAGCGCCGTGGTATTATTATGAGCTGCCCCAAACGGGGACTCTGGCTATTCACCGGCAGCTTCGGAGGATCAGAGATTATGCAGGAAGCTGATCGCCCAGCGCCATGTGGCTGGCGACCCGGAGTTTCTGAACAAATCCCCTTAGTCCGTTTTGAGCTGCGTGTCGCGTTAAAGAGCTGCCTCGTGGCTTTTGTCGGCATCCTCTGTGCCGACTCGATGGCACAGGAGCCCAGCCTCCGCTGCCCAGACTCTGCATGTTTGTCCAGAATCCTCTGGGTGGTGAGAGCAGCTTACAGAGGAAACTCATCCCTGGGAAGACCGTGTGGTGCCAGGCGCCCAGGCAGGGCTGCGGTCAGTCTGTCGGGCTGTGGGAGGAGAGGCCCATGGAGGGGAAACACGGAGAGCTCCTGAGAAGCAGTGCGTCCGGGGTCACAGGCACGTTCTGAGATGGATTGGGGGACAAATGGCTGAGGGAGGCTCACGAGGCCACCTCTGACCATTGTTGCTTTCCCCAGAGTCTGACCTGCCATTTCTAACAGTGGGCGCTGGCAGAATGAGCACGTTTGTCCATCAGGTGGGCTCTCTAAAGAGGTGGCTCTTCATTTGCCCCAGTGGTCAGACCCACTGGCGTGGCAAACAGAGGCCGGATCACTTTACTAATGCTGTGGAGCCTTCTCTCTCTCTCTCTCTCTCTCTCTCTCTCTCTCCACCTCTCTTGACTCATGTGTATGTCTTTTCTCTTCTCTCTCTGCCTGGGGTTTAGCTCCATCGTGTTTGCTCGTTGGTGTCCTGGGGCACATGACGGCCACAGGTGCAGATTATAAAGCAAGCAGATAAACACAAGGTGTCCCAGGGGCCACGGTGGGTCAGAGGTAAAAGTCCCACCTCCCCTGCCTAAAAAACCGGTTCAATTCCCAGCCTGTGCCCCTCTTGTGCTGCCGCCGCCACGACCACCACTGCCTGCCTGCTATGAGGCTGGAGGGGTGCTGTGAAGCTGAGCAAGTTTTCGAAGAGCTTCCAGACTGAGATGGACTAGGAAGAAAGGCCTGGCGATCTCCTTCCAAAACACGGCCAGTGGAAGCCCTCCGGGTCATGAATGCCTCATGGTCCCACGGCACCTGAAGTGGACCTGGGTGGGCAGGGCTGACAACCACAAACACTAGAAAACTGGATGGAGTTTCATTTGGGATTCATTTGATCTGCTTGGTCCCTGGTAGTAATTGAAAACCCAAACTCATGGGATACAAGTGCCATGAGCTATCAAATGTCATGCCATTTTATAGCAGACAGAAAGGTGACCCCTGTGGGTGACGGGCTGGGGGGACATTTCCCATGGTCCACTCTTGGGGGCCATTCACAGGAAGAATTGTGGGAACTCTGTGATTGGATGACAAATTGAACACACACACACACACACACACACACACACACACGGCTTTAACATCTCTCTCTCTCCAAACGGCATCTGGACGGATTTTTCACTTCACAAATGGAATGGAAGCAAACCTTTTTTTTGTTCCCTCAGTGGTTTTGTGACACGTGGGCCTGTGGATGGTAGAATGGTAGGTGGGGGGAAGGCAGTGTGTGAGCTCAGATTAATCTGATCAGCTGGACGCTCTGAGATGCACCTCTGTCCTGGGCTTTCCATGTGCCGCCTGTCTCCTGGGGGAAGTGCAGTGAGAAGCACTGCTATTTTAAAATAATTAGAAACTCCACTTCTCATCCAAGTGACCCGCCGCTAGCCTGAGCCACGTTTCCAAACCTGATCTGAGGCCCCCGTGTGGTGTCCACAAGGCCGCTACCCCGTGTTCACTGGTTTCCCATCTCACATTTCTGCAGCTTCCTAAGATGCTTGGCAATTACCCTCCCCCTGTCTCCATTCTGCTTTTAAAGGTAAATGTTCATAGAAATGGGAGCTTGGTTTTCAGGCCCATCCATCTGGCCCTTGACCTCTTGAGGTGGCCATTGTCACCTACTGATGCCACACGAGTGCCCCATGGCCAGCAAGGCTCCCATCAAGCTGGAGGCAAGGCCTTAATGAGGCTCTGCTTGGCATGTCTAAGGCTAGGGTTAAATCAAGTGAGCACAGGCGGTTAGCATTAAGGAAGGGGAAGACAGCTCCTTCCTGCTGAGTGGGTCATTCTGGGTCACAGCCCTTCGAATTGGCCTTCGATGGACAGATCTTAAAGTGTCTAAAAACTTGTTTTTCTGTTATTTGAAAATACCTCCTGGCTCAGAAAGCTTAATGACAACATTTTACTTTGACTCCTGACAATTTTTTTTCCCCCTTCCTATCTCTCTTTGTGGTTGGGACTAGGCATCTCTGCAAAGGCCCTTAAAAAGGCCCAGCCCAAGTGGAACATCAGAGAGACCTTATCATCTCTCCTGCAGTCGGTTTCAATCCCCTCGTCCCCGCCCCCCACGCCCTCCCCCATGCAGCCACCATCCTGCTGTGCCCTGCATCTCGTCTGTGCAGGCAGAGGTGTCCACTGGGAGGACCGGCCGCTGTGGCCTCAGCTCGCTGGGAATTGGACATCTCTTAGGCTTAAGGATTCCCCGTAAACTCACCTCAAGAGCTTGGGACTTAAGTGCATTTTGAAAAGCGTAAAAGGCCCAAGAGCATTTGACACACACAACCAACCGTGTGTGTTGGGGGTGGGGGGGGGTGTCGAGCCAGGAAGCCCTCTTAGCTGAGAATGGGGGGGTTTGATGGTTACGGTCACAGGAGATGGGAGGGATCTGAAGAAGGTGCTGGCTGCTTTGGTGTGTGTGTGTGTGTGTGT